GTCCCAATAGGGCCCACAGCTGATCCCAAAGCAGCTCCACTAATACCACCTGCCATACCTGCTCCTATTGTGAACCCTGAATCCAGCAAATTTTTTATGAATCGTTTTCCTGATATTTCACCTTTCCACCAACGAATCAAATCAACACAGGCATTGTAGCAGAGGTATACAGCAGCCAGACCCACCATTACGACTGCGCCTCCCGATTTATTTGCTATACTTACGACATCGTCAACTATAGTCATCACTAACCTATTCGGCATTGATCCCAAGTAACTCAATACAGAAACTTTCGACTCATGAGGAATAATATTCCAGGCCCTTGTCAAGCCACCAAAGATTGACGCAGATGTAGAATCACGATTCAAGAGTCGGCTAGGATCTAATTTTTGGGAATCTTCTATTCCAACTGCGTCATCACAATGTGACATCATTTGTTCATGAACTATATTCATGCGCTTTCGAAATTCAGGATCGATTTCTGCTCTTCTTGTTTCATCTGAAAGCCGTTCGGCAAATTTTCGAAAAGCTTTATCCATCTTCACTGTGGCTTTCAAAGATTTCCAGTATGGCGAGTACGGTCGATCGACGTTGTCTTTGTAAGCTGTATCTTCTTTATCAAGGAAGAACAGTATTCTGCATAAATCGTCTTCCTTGTTTTTAAACACTTCAACGAGTTTTTCAACTACTTCATTTTCCCAACTTTCTTTTGTTGCATCCATGACGAGAAGCCTCTCTACAAAATTAATAAAAAGGGAAATTTATGAGTGTGCAATACTACAATTCAAATCAATTGATCTACACCTGCATTCCTGCATACAATAAATATGGGATTGTAATTTGATTCTACCAAAAGCGGCAGGCATTTTTGTTGTATTTCTAGTAACCTCCTCAGCTATTAACTCAATTCAATCCGCCAATATTAATTTCCGACGTATATGACGGGAAGATTAAATATGAAAGAACTTCGCGAGTATTTGCAGTAGATTTACGAAAATACCACCAAAAAATTCCGCTTGATCGAAACTATATATTCTGTGGATTGAGAAGGGTTTGCAATAATACCAGAGAGCTGTGGATTGAGAAGGGTTTGCAGTAACACCAGAGAGCTGCAGATTTACTTGCATTTTTCAGGTGTAGTAGAATCCAACTCCATCCGCAGCTTTTTTATATATATATATATATATATATATATATATATATATATATATATATATATATATATATATATATATATATATAATAATTTAATATTTTAATACAATTTTTCAATTGAATAAGTTGCTACTTTAAGTTTCTTGCAACAAGCAATCATCCTGATTGCTTGTTGATGATTGCTTGTTGCATGAAACTTACAGTAGCAACTTATTCAATTGAAAAATTGTATTAAAATATTAAATTATTATTATATGCTCTACAATTGTCTTGTATTGAGCACTCTTTATTCTTAAAAACGGGAAATTACTTTATGAAATTATATATATATATATATATATATATATATATATATATATATATATATATATATATATATATATATATATATATATATATATATATATATATATATATATATATATATATATAGCTTAAGATTTTGGTTTACGAAACACAAACAGTGCTCAATACCATATAGATAGAGCGTAATATAGTTTTTCGTTTTACCTCAAAAAACCACAACAGTCTGTTTCATCCGTATAGGAATCATCAGGTGGTGAATAATTTCGAAATTGTAGGTTGCTTTTATGCTATCGAAAGAATGTGCGGAATGCGTGTAGGCGAAACAATGCTTAGGTGAAACAATGCATGCTTGGGTCATTAGGTTTTGTTAACGACCTTGTTTACTCGAAACCGGTTTTTGTGACGACATTTGCCGAAAATTTCGCTTCTTTTATTGAGTAAATTGTCTTTGTTTATGTCTTTCAAAATGCAAAATTTTTCTTCCAAACATAAATTGCAGCGTTTTGATCCCCCTGTGTACGAAATAGCGTGTTTTAAAATTGACCATTTGATGGTATAATCCTGATTGTTTTCTTTTAATTTCCAAATATGTTTCGAAAGTTCCGTTTTGTTTGAGTCTTTTTTATGACGAAAAGATGAAGTGTGGTTAGCGTAACGTTCCTTAAATGTAGTCGCTGTCATACCAATGTAGTGTTTAGTGTCGTTCGTGTTGTTCGTTGTGACTGTTGCTTTGTAAATAATGTTGTTGGTCATGCATTGTTTCGGTAGTGGGCAAGTGTTTTTGTTGTCGCAGTTACAGTTGTCAGTTTCCGTATTCTGTGATTGACTGTTCCTAATTATATGTGCGTTGTGTTTGGTGATTATAGACTTAACGTTGTTCATGCAACTGTAGCTTACTTTTAAAGTGTTTCTATTAAAAATCTTGTGTAGTTTGTGCTGTAGCGGGAAGTGTTTGTCAATTAAACTTAAGAATTCCCGTCCTATGTTCGTGTTAACACTCTTACTAAATGGTGGGTTAAACCAAATTATGTTGCGTTGCCTATTCCTACGTGTCCGTTGCGGTGCATTCTCAGTGTACGTAAATTCATGATCAAAGTTACTATGTGTAAGAGCGTTCTGGTAAATAGGTGTGGATTCCTTAAACGTTTGTTCGTCCGATGAGAGAAGTGCAATGCGTTTGTTGATAGCTGTAGGTAATTGTCTTGTAATGCTTGGTGGATGGTTTGAGTGTCTGTGGATGTACAATGGATCGTCATTGGGTTTCCTGTATGGTTTGTGTTTTGCGTTGATCAGGTCGAAAGTAACATCTAAAAAATTTACAACGTTCATATTTACTTCGGCGGTGATTTTAAGGTCAAATTGCTCGAAAATTTTGTGTAGCTCTTTTCTAGTTTTGTCTAGTAAACGGGCGGATTTGCTTTTTATAATAGCCAAACCATCATCTCTATAAAGTCCGATGTTTTCCTTGCCAAACCTCTTACCTAAGTGATTTAAAATGAAAAGGCCTACCAGCTCACAAATTTCAGCGCCGTCGAAACTACCCATAGTGACGTCAAATAAACTGTTGCTTCCGTCTTTTTTTGTCCATAATTTGCCGTTGCCGAAAAGTGGAGATTTTCTTGCATGTTTTATTATTGAAATATCGTTTTCGGTAATAGTAGTCAAATCCGAAGCCCAGGCCAATGCTTCATTCAAAAGTTTTTCCGAAATAGATGGGTAAAAATCCACAATATCAAATGAAATAAAACTGTGCCTGTCTTTATCGTTTATATTGCCAAACCATGAAATTACTTGTTGCGTATTTCTCCATTTTATATATATACCATGAAATTACTTGTTGCGTATTTCTCCATTTTATATATATATATATATATATATATATATATATATATATATATATATATATATATATATATATATATATATATATATATATATATATTGTACCTTAATTTATAATAATAATAATAATAATGGTTTATTACATTCACTAAGTAGCTTGATAAGCTAAAATACAGTGATGTTTACAGTGATAGAACTTTTACAATGATAAAATGTAATGTAAAAAGTATTAATACTATGGTCTCTGCTAAACTAAAGCTACTTTAATTAATGTAAAAAGTCTTAAAACTATTGTCATATTTACAGATAGAATTAGATTATGTTAGTTATTACTCACTCTAATATATAAACCCTCATGCTTACTTATCAACAAAATATTATATTTGCCAATTGCATATAGGCCTACAATTGGACTATGTTTAAAACGTTCTGTTTTACATGCAAAGTTATAGTACGTTGCCTCATTCATTCTCGTTTCTCGTTGCTTTATTTGGGAAGTTTTCTTTGGTAAGAGGTGGTTAAGTTTATGATTCGGGTTTGACATGTCCTTAATAAGTTGGACACACATGTCATCGCCTCGGTCGGTTAGCGTTTTGAGGTTCGACTCCATTAGTGCTTCATGGTATTTTGGTTCCAGATAAATTATCCTTAACGCTCTTTTCTGGATTCGCTCGATATCTTCGCTTTGCTCCATTGTCAACCCGCCGTTCCAAACTTGGGCTGGGCGCCATATTCCAAAACTGATCTCACTACTGCTACGTAGAAAGTCTTCAGAGCTTCTTTTGGCGCACTATAACACTTTAGAATCTTCATAAAGTATAGTCTCTTAGCTGCCTTTTTTCTGATGTACTCAGTGTTTGTTTTCCATTTAATTTAAGGTCATCGTCGACCCAGATACCCAGTAGCTTGTAAGATCTTACTTTAGTGAGAGACTGCTTCCCTAATGTAGTTGGGGGTATAACCGTTTTATTCTTACGAAAGTCGACATGCATTTCTTTGCATTTTTTAAAATTCAGTAGCATATTTTCGTCGTTCGTAAATTGTAATACACTCTCCAAATTACGTTGGGAGTTGCCGATCGATTCCGCAGAGATATGATCGGAAATGTTTAAAACTTCAGACATGGTAGTGTCATCCATAAACATTGAAACAGTAACATAGTTATCATCATCAGATGACAGAACCACTGATGGGAGATCTTTTATATGAATTAAATATGCCCTGGTTTTCCATTGAGAATTTTACCAAAAGTTTTTATAACCAACGAAACCAAATCTTATACACACACACACACACACAAACATATATATATATATATATATATATATATATATATATATATATATATATATATATATATATATATATATATATATATATATTTATAAGTAATAGCATGGCATTCAGGGCGGTTAGTGATTAAATGTACCCGAAAGCCGAGAGAGGTTTAGTAAAAGTCTAGAGGTTTAGTTAAAGTCCTCTCGAGGCTTGAGGGACATTTCATCACTAAGTAAGAGTTAATTACCGAGAAGCGAGGCATTTAGCCATATACAGCCCGAGGCGCGTAGCGCCGAGAGCTGTATATGGATAAATGCCGAGGTTCGAGGTAATTAACTGACTTATTACATGATTGAGAAGGTTTTCACAAAACAGCTCTTACGCATGTGGGACGTAACACAAGGCTGAGTATGCACACTATATACGCTTTAAAATGTGGTCAAGCATGCGCAGTATATCATTTCACGTCCCACAAGCGAAAGAGCAGATGTTACTGTATAAATTCCCTGCAGAAGCAAGTTTGATGGTTGATCCAGCTAGTCCTCGTGCGCCGAATGATACATACTCTTACCTAATGGTAGAGTTTTGACGGGCTCTGAGGTACACGGCTGTTGTCTCTTTCCCGACTGGAGACGGTACAGAGTTTATCGAGTTGGGAAAGAGACTAACCTCTCATTAGGTACTTACCCAGATAAGTACATCATGAATATAGTTTTAGTGAGGTATTTATCTAGATAAATACCTCATTAAACTATTCATGAGGTATATATCTAGTTAAATACCTCATGAATAGTATTATTAAACTATTCATGAGGTATTTAATACATAATTATTCAAGTGCAATATAGATATATTGCACTCAAACTGAGTGCAATATACATATATTGCACTGGAGCTCAGCGCAATATACAGATATTGCACTAGAATAGCTAATTAGTAATTCAATTCAATTCATCAGCCCCACTCTTCCCTGCTGAATATCAAATCCCTCCCCGGGCTTTTATATACTTGAAAGACATTATGGAAAATAAAGGTCTATGAATATAACAAAGAAAATCGCGTCAATCATGTAATAATCGACCGTAATGCCATGCTATTACGTTGTAATACCATAGTTGCCGAGGGAATCCGCGCGTAGTGTGTTGCCGGTTTTGAATGCTGTTTGATTGTCTTATGATTGTGGTGCGAACACTTTTCATATATACGCACGCGCAGAAACACATCTCCGTGTCCATTGGCGTTTTAGGCATGCGCATAAACGCAATTTTCTCCCACAATTGTAATGTTCAAGATTTGGGAATAAAAGCTGGCAAAGTGATTGTTCGAATGTTTACGGGACGCTGTCGTCAGATACTGTCCATAGTTGTGCCGATGATTTTCGATGAGGTACAGCTCTCCAATCAGAGGTAATGAGGTGGTACGCTTTTGTCTTCTAAATTTCTCTCTTCAAGCATGCAGGGGACAATTAGTTCTAATTTTGCCCGTGGTAAAAATTAGTTCTAATTTTACTCCATGTTTTAGTAATGAGGTAAATTAGTGATTAATCGTACCTCGCGAGACAAAGGATTTCGAGGCAACTATGGTATTAATATATATATATATATATATATATATATATATATATATATATATATATATATATATATATATATATATATATATATATATATATATATATATATATATATATATATATATATATATATATCCAGAGGTCGCCGGTTCGAATCCGACTCAGTCTCAACTTTTCCTGTTCACTAAAAAACACTTACCTACGGTGATTAACATATATAAAAATTATAAATGCCATATCGTGATGATTAAAATACATATATGTATATATATATATATATATATATATAATATATATATATATATATATATATATATATATATATATATATATATATATATATATATATATATATACAGTCTGAAGTCACTCAGGAATGTCAAAGTTGCTATGAATAGTGATAATTATTATTAATGTTAGGCTACAATCTGAATATTTTGACACTGAAAATGGAAATGTGGTCACTGTGGTGTGCCTTTAGCAATGTAAATAAATCAAATGCTAAAATAAAGTAACAAACCACATTATGATCCTAAATTTTCTTCATTCTGTTTTAATATTTGCAATCAGGGGGAATAACAACTTTTGGGAATACGGCAGTATTTCCCCCTTGCGATAGTAACTTCTAGTTTTGTAATTTTTTGGACGTGCAAAATATCATTCAAATAGTCTATACTACTGTTGTTTTGCTAGCTAATAAAGAAAGATAGGATTAAAATATTATATTGTATTCCTATTTGAAATTAGTGCATTTAGCTTGCAATCTAAAATAGGATTTAAACAGCCTATTTTATTTTATTAACCTAAAAATAATATATTTTATTCGTACAGTATTTTATTTTCTAACTACGTTTTAGTGAAGTAAAATTGAATTTACATAGGCTATTTTAAATTTATTTTTCCCTGAGATTCTGGAAACTAGTATTAACATATGCAAGTTTATTTATATTATCCATAAAAATAGGAATAAATTTAATAAAATAAAGTAAAACATTAATAAAATATGGCTCTTTGTTTCAGTAAGATAATATAATAGAATTAAAATTGGGTTGCCTCTAGATAAAATAGCATAAAAATAGCCGTGATGGTAATAAAATTTTAAAGTTTTAAAATAGCAATTTAATATAGTTATTTTCGCAAGAGAGTCCACAAAAGTTGTCCGACAATATGCAAATTTGCTTACCGGTGGCACTGTCATATTAGGTGGATTGTCTTTATATTGATTCGTCACTTCTGATGATGTTAAATAGTGTAGTACGGCTGACTGTAACGCTACTGTACAGAATGAAAGGGGCTTGCTCAGTTTCGTCAATTGTTTATTTCACGAGGAAAAGTGTTGACTATAATAGTTATCCATATATACATAACTGACACAGTCCTCACAATCTATTTTGCAAACTTGCAATATTTACAATCGTATATAATCTGACACTAGACCCACATTCACATGAAACTGCTACATAGATTGATTGGATGAATCCAGTAACCACAGATTATTTTCGGACGAATATGAACAGTGGAACACCGATCCGCTCATTATGAACTATGCAGCCGAACTGCCTGTCTGAATTTTCATGCAACACTTGTAATACACGTATGACTGACTACAGACGTTAATTCCCGATGCGGTTTCACGTGAACTTCCATGCTGCACGAATGCACGATTATGATTTTACAACTTAGTTTTCGATCTCCTCATACACTTCGTGGCGACCTCATATAAACGTCTAACCTATACTAGGAGCGACTGTTATGATTTACACATTGTTGAAGAGTTTAATATAAGAACCCAAACTCACCGTCGATGTTTCGTAATTGAAATCGAGCTCTGATACTTTCGGTTTACTGTGTTTTTCTTCGTGTAAGCTCAGTTCTTTCGAACCCTGGTAGCTTGAAATAAAGCTTCATAGAAAACGTAAAATACTTTAAAGAATACTATAATAAAGAGTAATGTTTTCGTGGAAGGGGAATTACCGAGAAGGGATTTTCCCGGAAGACGGTAATTCAGATGTTGTATTCACTTTTAGGCTTTATAATTGGCATACATGAAGTATCGAAACTGACGCGCAAAGTGGATGTTGGAAAAGTGCATCCTTAGGAGCATTTAAAGTATTTTAAGGTACGCTGTTGCCGTTGGTGTTGCGATTCCTTTCTGATCTCCCATGAAACAGAAGGCTAAATTTGATATTTCTTTAATTTTATGACCTTATATTTCTGCTTCTCTCATAAAGAGAATTAGATTTGGTAAAAGCAATATATGGATGGCAGTTCACTTTGTGCTTTTCTAAGACATATCGTCTATACTTCTCTTTTAACACACTTAAATAATTAATTAATTAAAACCATGTTATATACAAATAAAAAACTTTTTTAAATTATAAAGTTGGCGGTAAAATAAATCGATTTCGCTCTAACACAGCCTCTTCAGTGCTCCGCCATCTTGTTTTTAAGAATTGTTATGTACTTCATGTAGTTAAAATAGCGGGTTGAAACTTCATGTAACTGTCAACGTAGTGCCTCACTCTTCACTCTATCACTACCCGGGGAATTTTAAAATAATTCCACTCGGTTTTTGAGTTCATCAATTTGCCAGTCTTTATCCTGTTCATCTTCACACTCTCCGAAATCTGTCTCAACATCGTAACATTGCCATACCTCCCTGTCACATTCATCTGAAATGTTTGCACTTCACCATCATGCTTTTCCTTACAATATTTCCATAGAGTAGATTGATCCTTTAACTTTTCATACATCTTGACATGTACGCACTTCTGGACGTTTCGCCCAGATAAACATCATTACAAGTATTGCATCGTATATCATAAGTCACTCCATGTCCACCACAAGGTCCTTTTTCCCCCGTTGTACACACTAGACAGTCATTCTTGCCACGGTTCTCTGGCTTGAACGGATCTGGTCGCTGTAACATCTTCTTCAATGTGTTGCCTGCCTTCTCAACTACATTGATGTTGAAACCTAGGTTTCTGATCTCCTGTTGATATTCTCTTTGTAGTTGTGATCTTGGTGTAGCTGGAACAAAAATTACTGATTCGTTTCTTCCTTTTGCATACCAATTTTTCTTTTTCCTTATTTTCTCCTTCGTTCTCTCCTCTTTATTCCATCCCTTTGGTCTATACAATAGTCGTTCCCCACTTTCATCAGCTTCTTTTCGTAGGAGAAAGAAAATAAGAAAAAAGAAAAATTGGTATGCAAAAGGAGGAAACGAATCAGTAATTTTTGTTCCAGCTACACCAAGATCACAACTACAAAGAGAATATCAACAGGAGATCAGAAACCTAGGTTTCAACATCAAGGTAGTTGAAAAGGCAGGCAACACATTGAAGAGGATGTTACAGCGATCGGATCCATTCAAGCCAGAGAACTGTGGCAAGAATGACGGTCTAGTGTGTACAACGGGGGGAAAAGGACCTTGTGGTGAACATGGAGTGACTTACGATATACGATGCAATACCTGTAATAATGTTCATGTGGGCGAAACGTCAAGAAGTGCGTATGTCAGAGGATGGGAACATGTCAAGATGTAGGAAAAGAAAAAGGAACAATCTACTCTATGGAAACATTGTAAGGAAAAGCATGATGGCGAAGTGCAAACATTTCAGATGAATGTGACAGGGATGTATGGCAATGATGCGATGTTGAGACAGATATCGGAGAGTGTGAAGATGAATAGGATAAAGAATGGCGAATTGATGAACTCAAACACTGAGTGGAATTATTTTAAAATTCCCCGGGTAGTGATAGAGTGAAGAGTGAGACACTACGTTGACGGTTACATGAAGTTTCAACGCGCTATTTTAACTACATGAAGTACATAACAATTCTTAAAAACAAGATGGCGGAGTACTGAAGAGGCTGTGTTACAGCGAAATCGATTTATTTTACCGCCAACTTTATAATTTAAAAAAGTTTTTTATTTGTACAGGGTGTCTCAAAACACAACTCTACGGACATTCAACAGGCTGTCGTGCATCATAAACGTGGCTAAACAATTCAATTTTTACATAGGACGAAAGAACAGTTATTTATCTTTTCAATGATACACTTTTTAAGTCGTAACGATGAGAAATGGCCACATACTGGTCAAATAAAAATTGCCGGTCGAAATCACATTTTTCCACCGTTGGGAATTGCATCGAAAACGAAACATAAACAATTCCCAAGAGGGAATTAAAATTGAATGTTAAATTATCTAAAATAAGCTCAACTCGTCAATCTTCGTCTTAGTGAGACAATAACTCAATACGAATTTGGTACGAAACATGGTTCAATTAACCCCTGAACACAAAACATTCGTTATCAAAACGTTTTATGAAACAAATAACTTGCAGCAGGCTCGCGTTGCTTTTGGATTGACTAACTTTGCATAATTAATTAATGTATTTTCAATTCCCAACGGCAACGGTGGAAGATGTGATTTCGACCGGCAATATTTATTTGACGAGTGTGTAGCCATTTCTCATCGTTATGATTCCAAAAAGGTATCATAGAAAAGCTAAATAACAGCTCTTTCTTCCTGTGTAAAATCGAACTATTTACCTACGTTTATGATGCACAACAGCCTGTTGAATTCCCGTAGCGTTTTTTTTTAGACACCCTGTATATAACATGGTTTTAATTAATTAATTATTTAAGTGTGTTGAAAGAGAAGTATAGACGACATGTCTTCGAAAAGCACAAACTTATCAAGCTCTTTCCTTGCTTCAACTAGAGAAATTTCCCAAAGATGGCAGTTCATCTTACATTTTAAGATTAATTATCTAAGCCGATAATGGTTATATTATTCTTTCTATTTGTAATTTGGAAGTACAAGTTGTGCAATTTAGTCAATGCAAGTCGTTGGCTAGTCAATAACTTTCATAAAAACATCATTTGCATTGTCGCTTGGGACATCGCAATAAGTGTTTTTCCGCGTTTGACGTCATTATAAGGCTTATAAGAAAGTCTGTTCCTGAAGAGGGTGAAACAACGAACAGGGAAGATTGCAGGCCAAATTCCATTCTAGCGACCCTTTCTGAAATTAAAATCTTTCGTGTCGCGTAGAGCTTCCTGCAGTAATACAGTTAAAAAAAAATTTATACAGATCGGAATTAATCATCGAGAAGTTGTTTTTGTTTTTATAAGCAACGTCTAAAGACTAAAGCTTGTCACGGAAATGTTTCTTTAAGGACTGGTCATAAAGTAAAAGGGGGGTGGGTTGGGAAAAATAGTTCAAAACTGAAAACGGATTTTAAATATCTAAACCTAATCCAAAGTTATTTCACCATAAAAACCGTGAAAAATCTAAAAATAGTAACAAAATGGTGGAAAATTCGATTCTAAACTCCCTGTATCTCGTGATTAGATTAAGATATTTAAAATCTGTTTTCAGTTTTCAACTCTTCATCACATGATCTTCCACATTCTGCTTAAAAACTATTAAGATATTGAAAATAAATTTTAACTGGAGGTTTCGTGACGTCATTTTCCCGCCAAAAACCGTTAAATCTCAAAAATAAAAAACATACGATTGTTCGGAATGGAAAGTTATATTGATGCAGCAAGTTTCATGTCCATCCGAAATATATTGAAAAAGTTTATATTAGATAGCCGATTTGTGAAAACAGCTGACCCGGCGTGACAACTTGTAATGTTTTACATTTTTCTTGCATGCTTCCCAAAATACTATGTCTAAGAAGATGGGAAATGACATCTAATTTGCACCACGACAATGCGTGCGCACGTCAATCGTTTTTCATTCGCTATGTTAAATACCATGTTTTCTTGTATATGATCACTAGATAGACATTTTTAGTAGGATCATATCTTCGAAGCGAGTTGGGTGACCCCAACTCTTTTTTCCGTTTTTTACATGAGCACATCATAAACTTCACCCCAGGGAGGTTTCAGCAAATTCTCATTTCCAGAACAATTACTGATGAATCACCTTAAGCACAAACGTTATCAGCATGACGAATGTTAATCATATATATCTTTTCCCTCCCGATAATTCGACAAACTTCTATCCATGATAGTAGAAATTTCTATATACAGTCATTAAATTGTATCAGTTTTCGGTCAGTTGTTATAGTATAGATTGATATGTCAGATAATTGGATCCGGCTGGATTTTCGTGCCAAAATGGATTTTTTCGGCCAATTTTGGGGTGCTGATTTCAAAAAAGTTAGGTACCATTTTTTCTTCTACGTCATCAGTAAGAAAATTGAGATTCAAAATGGCGGCCATTTTTTTCAAAATAACGTCCATTTTTTATTATGTTTTGTTCTATTAGTCTCAATATCGTAGTTTCTGGAAACATTAGAATAACAATACCGTTCAACATTGTTAATTCTTGAGTTTCTGAGTTTAAAAAAGTTGGCTACTTTTATTTTCCATGCCATCATCCTTCAAAACTTGGGGTTTCAAAACGGCCGCCATTATTCATTGAATTCTGTGGAAATTATGTTCTATTTCATGCCGCCATTATTCATTGTCTTCTGTGGAAATTATGTTCTATTTCATGCCATGACCATTTTATTAAAACTTAGCTTTGACTTTTTTAACTGTATCACTACAGTCACTATTTAGTAATTTAAGGCTGTGGTGCTGAGTCATTAAAACTCTTTAATTTTTGTTTACAATTTCACTAGAAATTATGTCCAAGACATATAAATAGAATTAAGCTATAGTGGCTGTGATCGATAATGTGAATAAAGATAAAAGGTATAATAAAGTAAAGAATTTGTCAGAATAGTTTGCATGACTAGTACCTAGTCA